AGAGCAAAGACAACATCCGCAATGGCAACGTGCAAATTTGGATCACCCGCGCCGCCCTGCGGACATCCGCGATTTGACCCTCGTCGTGCGAGGAATAATCATACGAATCCTGACCACCCCACGCCAGTGCGCAGGCGAAGCGACGTCGACCCCCGTCGGCGCATGCCAGCAATAGCAAAGACAACCCCATGCCCACGTCCGCGGACGAGTTCAGGTTGACCCCCATCGCGGGGGGGGGTCGTCCCCCTATGGTTTTCAAGACACTCAGGACGACGACAACCAGGGTGTGGGCGTCAGGGACGGTGCAAGGCCCGCGCGCGCCTTTCTTTTCTCGCACTCGTCCTCCAGGCCGCGGTGACCACGCACCAGGCGAAAATCGATCGACTCCAGACGGGCAGAACCATGCCTGTGGCAGCCGCTCACGCAGAGATGAACCTGTTCTGCCGGAGGGCCGAGAGCGCGTCCGCCAGCTTCGGACCCCACTGGATCGACTTGGAGGCGAAGGAGAACTTGTGCCAGCGGTAGTCGATGTCCTCCACCTGCTTCCAGGCCTTCTCTGCCTCGAAGTCCACGATGCCGATGCTCGAGCCCCCCTTGCAGGAGCACTCAACATCGAATCGGCACATCGCATCGGATCAGCAAGCTCATCGAATCGAATCGACCGCGCCAAGATTCACAAAAACGCCATGCAACACATCGTTCCGCGTCTGGCCGTCGGAATATCCGAATCGGATCGGATCGGGCCGACCATAATCGATACCGATTCGGAAAGACTAAATCGAAAAGGACCCTGCCCTTGCGCGGAGAAAACTAAAGGAGTAAGCATAAAGGGGGGGTAAAGATCGGATCTGGAACCGACGATGCATCGCCGACTGGCCTCCGATGGCCAAACACCGGGGGTCCTGGGGCAGATTTGGACGCCCGGAATTGCTACGGGAAAAATGCGGTACCATACAGCACATGCTGTCCAAAATCGACAGCGGCCGCTGTTGGGCAGGCGACGATCTGTCTCAAATTGGCAACGTCCGCGGCGACGCCGACAGCGAGCTTCGCCCGAAAGGAACAGGACATGTTGTCGGTCTTCGCACTCCAGATTTCGTAATAAAAGGGAGGGGGTCTCATTTCGGGGGGGGTCTCTTCCAGGCTATCTTGGAGGGCCTGGGGGGGTCTGGGGACGATGTTTTTTTGGAGGGTTCTCCCAGGGGGGGGGTCTAAAACTTCTCGTCTGGGAGGGTTGAGACCCCCTCCCTTTTATTACGAAATCTGGAGTACCCATCCTTTCTGTACCCCTTCCGAACGCACCGAACCGATGCCGGGCGCGCGGGCCCTCGAGGTCCTGACCCCTCCTCCCAGGCCGGCTTTTCCTCCCGAGTCTTCTTCGGCCGCTCCTGGGGCCCGGCGGGGGCCCCCCGAGGCCGAAAACGGCCGCACACCTCCTGGGGACCCCCCCAAAAAAACGTACCGATGCCGCTACTCCCCTGACCTCTCCCGGGGTGCGTTCTGACCAGGATTTCGAGGCGCATCCAGCGGTGACAACGAGAGCCTCCGAGGAGGCCGAAAAAAGAGGAAAACGGGCGAAGGGCAGCGGTATCCGTACCTTTTCCTCCTCTGACCTCCCGTCGTGATTCCGCTCGCGGCGCGAGCAGGTCTGAGGCGCGTGCCCCCCCCCACAAAGCTTGGTCCCACACAAGTTTCGCCCCTAGCAGGCATGTACGGACCCACGCCTGCCCCGGCTACGAGCCGGCGACTCGGGGTCGACGCTTACCTTTAGGTCGCGCGTGTCCTCCTGCTGGCGGATTTTGGACGAAAAATAAATGCGCAAAAATACAAACAACAATCGTCCCCGGACTCATTCTTTTGAGAATGTTTGAATGTTCCTCCTGTAGAGGAACACGCCTGACTCAAATTTGGACGCAATGCCCAACAACAAATGTTGTCCCAAACCAACAGCGGCCGCTGTTGGGCAGGCGGCCTTCTGTCTCGAACGGACACATGCCGCGGCGGCGCGGACGGCGAATCCTGTTCAGAATGAACAGGAACTGCTGTTCGGCATCGTACTCATTCTTTCCGTGCCCATTTCGGGCGTCCATCCTCCTGCTGCATTCTCGAAGACGACCTTGACCACCGTCCCGGGGGCCGGCCTCTCGCCCGGGGCCAGGAGACGGCCCCCGGAGGCCGAAGCCTACGAACAAATGGGAGGAGGAGGAGGGGGAGGAGGAGGAGGAGGAGGGGGAGGAAGAGGAGGAGGGGGAGGAAGAGGAGGAGGAGGAGGATGAGGAGGACACGCCCGACTCAAAACTTACCTCCCCTTGCCGCGCCTGTCCCTTCCGCTCCTCCGCGCTGCCCTGCCCGGGCGCTCCCGGATCGTCGGGGCGCTTCCCTGGGCGTGGGCCCCCCCCCCCCTGGGGCTCCCGGCGCCTCCCATTGGGGGCAGGCGCTCCGTCCCAGCTCGATGATCCTGTGGATGGCCCTGGCAAGGCTTTTTTTCCCCTCAAAAAAAAAAAATGCGAGTAAATCGGAAATCTCTGGGGATCGGCGGGCTTGGAGGACGCCTCGAGCGCCACGGTCGTGTCAGAGCGTTCAGGACGCCCTGTTGACGGTCTGATGGTCCTGGGGCCTGATACGGCCCCCCAGCGGCCCAGAACGGCCCCAAACAGTCCGTCGTGTTTTTTTTCGTCGAGACGCGAGGGGGTCTGGGGTGGCATGGGGCGAAGGGGTGTCCCAGAACCTGTTAGTTCTCAGATTGACCATTCTTGTCAAGCGGTCTTGGGGCACGAGAAGAGCCCAAGAAGGCCGAACACGGGAAGGGCCCCGTTCCCTCAGGACACCTGGGGAAACTCCGAAACTCTCACACAACCGGTCGCGCCGCTCCTGGGCTCCACCCAGACTGGTTCTTCGAGCTCGGTCCACCCGCGGCCAAACGGCGACGCTGTCGACGTCGCCGGCTGCAAGACACCCGGTCATGGTGACTCTCCCCTGGCCTTGTTGGCCAAGACCATCAGCGCGCTCGCAGCCTTGGCGGCGGCGAGCGGCTTGTCCTTCATAACCGCGTTCAGATTGTCTATTCGCTTCTGAGCCGAGGCCGTGTCGCCAACCTCGGGGGGGCGCCCAGGGGTGTGCGGGTGCTGCAGGGGCCACGAGCGGTCCAGAGCAAAGGGGGCGTGCTGCTTCTTCTTCTTCTTCTTCTCATAGTCCGCCTCCTCCTTCCTCCTCCTCCTCCCCGAAGTACTCCCTCCCACCTCCCTCCTTCCAACTGCCTCTCGCCCATCCCTTCCTCCTCCTCGCCTCTCACTCCCGCTCCTCTCCCCCTCCCTCCCCGCTCCTCCCTCTTGCTGCTTCTCCCTCCTCACCCCCCCTGCTGCTCCTCCCTCCTCCTCGCTGCCTCTCTCTCTCTCTCACCCCCCTCCTTCCCCCTCCCTCCCCCGCCTCGCTCTCCCGCCCGCCTTGCTCTTCCGTCCTGCCCCCCCTCTCCTGCTGCTCCTCCCATCTTCTCGCGCCTCCCTCCCGCTGCTCCTCCAAGGCCGCCCGCGGCGACAAGACAGCGACCACTGACTGGCTGGGCTCGAGCCAGAGAGGCGTTTTCGTTGTCGTGCTGTTGTTGTTCTCCTTCGTTCTGTGCTCGTTCTGCCTCTGCTGCGACCCGTAATCAAGCAGACAGCGGATCACGAAATCGACAAACGTACCGTTTAGCTCGAGCCGTGCTGGTTGAACCGGCAGCGAAGCCGAAACCGACCGACACCGACAGGCCTCGAGCAGCCCAGGAGGGCGCAGCGGCGAAGCAGCGACACAGCAGCCGACCGCACGCGGCCGGCCACGGCGCAGCCGAGCCGACCGAACCGCGGGCAGCCTCGTCCTCCCTCCGAGCCCTCCTGCTCCCGCTCCTGCTCCTGCTCCTCCTGCTTCCCCTCTTCCCGCCTGGCCTCGGCGAGGGGAGGGCCTCGCCATCGCTCGGACGGACATCCCCTGTGCTTTTTTCGGTTTCGTCAGGGGGAAAACAAACCTACCTCGCTTTTGACCACCCTCGCTTCCAAGAGATACCAAACGATGCCAAATTGCACCCTGTACTGGTCAGGCTGCTTGACGAGGGGGCGTGTGGTATGGCTTGGTTTTGCCTGGAAGCGAAAGCGGGGTAGGCAATTCACGCTCTGATTCGTGCGTGGTTTTTTCGCCAAATGATCAAGGATGCTCCTCGATGGTCCCCGCCGGAGGAAACATGCACACGTCCGAGCGATGCCATGAGGCCGAGGGCGGGCCGCCGTGGGGCCCTCCGGGGGAGCCATCTCTCTGGCCGGCGCGCCCGCGAGGGCGGAAGCCGGCGGTCGATCGCCCCGGCGTCTCGAGGTGCTTTCGTGCGACGGCCTCGCGCCCGCTTTTGAAGCCTCCCGCGGAAGACGACGAGGGCGGGGAGAGAAGGGGAGGCGAGGAAGAGGAAACAGCAGGGGGAGGAGGGGAGGCGGAGAGGCGGAGGCGGAGGCGGAAGAGGAGGAGGAGGAGGAGGAGGAGGAGGAGGAGGAGGAGGAACCTGGGAACCTGGCGATGGGGACGCAGTGTCCCGTGGAGGCGGCTCAGAAGTCCACGTTGAACTTCACGTCGTCGGCCACCTTCTCGATGACCTGCTTGTCGCTGTTGCTCTCGTCGGCCGTCTCGAAGCATCCCCATGGAACGCCAGCGGCCTCCGCAACCTCCACCTGCTCGTGGGCGCAGAACGCGTGCACCGCCGCCGTGCAACACAAGCACGCGGCCATCCTCGAGTGACGGTCGATGCTGCGGTGGCACAGTTCACGAGCGAGTCCTTCACGAGAGGACGGGGTGAGGCGGATGGAAGACGAGGAACAGAGCGGGCAGCGCACGCGCCGCAAGGCCGTGATGACCTCGAAGCATGTCTTGGCCGCCTCTTCGCTGATGCTGGCGAGAGACAGCTGAAAGGGGGGACATGTGCGCGACGTCCAGCGTGCCCTCTGCCATGAGGTGGCTCGTGAACGGCGCCGCAATCCTCAACTCGGACTGCTCGTTCGCGCCTCCTGCCGTTGCCAGAACACCGGGGCCGGCCCGTCTGGTGTCCACATCTGCGCATGCGAACTCCTCGAACTCGGCCTCGTGATCCTCGATGTCCAGCTGGTCGCTAGAGGACCCGTCGACATGCATGACCGACTCCTCCAGCTCCTCCCCCACGGCCTTCTCGAACCGAGTGTGTGTCTCGGCCAGTGCGGCGCGGTCCAAGCGCGCCCTCCGCCGCACGAAGGGCCTGGCCTGGCTCGCCTCGGCCGCAGACGCCAAAACTTGACTGTGGGCCATGGCAGTCCAGGCCACATCCATCTCCAGCAGGGTGGTCGGCAGGTGCTCCAGGCTGGCTTCGGCGCCGAAGTCATGGCCGAGGTCTGCGAAAGGGCCGCCTGTCTCCTCGTCCACGTCGTTGCCTCGCCCGTCAGCGATGACCGGGGGGGTGGCATCCTCAGTGCTCGTCGGGTGCATCGGCCACCCGCCCGTCGGCGGACCCGAGGGGGGGGGGGTCGCTCAAGAGGGGGCTGACATCCGCGCGTACGCGGCCCCTCAGCAGAGCGATCAGCCGAGCCCAGCGCGGGTTTGTCGTACTGGCTCCCTGAGGCCACCACGCACCCGAAGGCATCATCCGTCGGCACCTGCACGATGCCGAGGAGGCCGAGAGGGACGAAGACGTGGCCATACCACGCCGAGGAGGCCGAGAGGGACGAAGACAGGGCCCGCGCCCGCAGCACGAAGTGGCACTTGTCCTCCAGCTCTGGAGTGGGAAACGTCGGAGCCGCACGGCCTCGACGCGGACCGCGCTGTGCACTTCGCGACTCTTCGGCGGATGCAGCGGAGAAACGGAAGCCACACCTCCCGCGCGCATGTAGGGCAGCGTTCCGTCTGAACACGTCCAGATGCTGCGGGGCGGACACGGCCGGGACGACCGCGAGGATCCTGGCCCAGAGCTCGCCGTTGCCGAGGAGCTCCGCGAGAGAGGCCTGCGCCTCCTGAAACTGGAGACGCGAGCGCCGCAGCTCGGCTGACAGCTTCCTGGTCGCCCTGTCCACGTTGCCCCCCTTGGCCCACTCGCGCCGCACCCGACGGTCGGCCGCTGTAGGGCGGGGCCCTTTGGCATGCGTCGCCCGTGCCGTCCCGTAGAACCAGTTCCTCAAGCAACCACTTCCGGACGCCACATGCCGCACGGGAAAATGGCGCACCAGAGGGGCTGAGGCGAGCTTGAGCCAAAATGGCTGCGGAGGAGGGGGGGGAGGAGGAGGAGGAGGAGGAGGAGGAGGAGGAGGAGGAGGAGGAGGAGGACGCGGGAGCGAGGAGGAGGAGGGAGGAGGAGGAGGAGGAGGAGGAGGAGGAGGAGGAGGAGGAGGAGGAGGACGAAGGAAAGGGTGACTCACGATCAGGCCAGGTGACAATCAAACGAGGGTTAAGCAAGGTTCGTGCAAAATTTTGGCGGCCTCTAAGGCCCCCAAAGGCTACTGAACGCCCCGCAATCACCAAGCGCTTCCAAAGAATCCGAGGCGAGGCTCGGTGATTCTGCGACGGTTTCCAAAAGGTCCCCAAAGACTCCAAAAGGCAACCCAGGGTTCGACAGTGTTGAAAACGCCTCGGAAAAACTGACCACCGACCCTTGGACCTCGCAAGAGTTCACGCAGGACTCCCTCTTATGGAACGCCCCATGATATGTGTTTAATGGGAAGAGGGCGAGTTCAGACAACTGCAACATAACGTCGGTCTCTGGACCACTTCCCCAGTCCAAGCGCCACAAATGTTCGAGCTGCGTTCAGCCGTGGCAACCATCCCCCCCCCACCGGGCCAAGCTGGACGCGCCTCGTACTCGGTGACGGCCAGGTTCACGATGCAGAAAAAGAAACCGCGCGGCAAGCCGGCCCAGGGCAATGCGGCGTCGAGCCTTGGGGGAGCCGCCGACTGCGCCCCAACCCTGGCCAAGCCGTCCCCAGGCGCCTCCCATCCTCCAAAAGCTCGCCGTCTCGATAACCTCCTCCTCTTTCTCGTCCCGTTCTTTTCCATTTCGTTCGTTGCCGTCTTCGTCATCGGGTCCGTTCTTGTTTTCGTCGTCGTCTTCGTCGTCGTATTCATCATCGTCGTCGTCGTCGCCGTCGTCCTCATCCTCCTCCTCCTCATGAGGATGGCTTTTCGCAAACAACACCATGTGTTTGTCATACAATTCCCAAGGAAGAGGGACGTGAGGGTGAGAGGTTAAGGCGAACCACCGATCCCTGGCATGAAGTCCCAAGAGCGCCCCGCAACTTCAGCAAACTCTGCACGGGCCAACTTCCACTCGAGATCAGGTATGATAGCATCGGCGCGCTGCGTGCGCGGTAACAAGATGCCCCACAACGTGCGATCAGGTACGTGTGCCGCGTAGACGTCACCCCTGTATCTTGCAAGCTCGTTGCCAGCATGCTGCGCGTAATCGCGCGGACCGCCATTACTTGCAACGAAAAGGTTACCGAGCCGAACTGACTTGTTAAGACCACGCCACCGCTCACGAATGCGTTGTGCACGTGCGCCTTTACGTGCAAGCTCGCGCTCAGGAAAATCACTGACATGCTGCATCGCTACTTCCTCATCGCCAAAGAACTGGTTATTCAATACTGCAATGTGCGCGTGCAGACCAGCAGGGTCAATGGACGGCCCAGCCTGCACATCAACGAAGACAGGATATGAGGGTATGCGCGCACAGCACGAACAACAAAGTTCTGCATATTTGCGCGAAAACAACGCAGAGCGACAACACAGAAATGCAAGCACTCGTGTTGCGTCTGGGCTTCCAGACAGCGCATCACTTCGCGAATCTCAGCATGGGCCTCGTGCGTTGCCACCTTGGCACAGAATTCCAAAGGAACCCCGTCCCAGGACGTAAAATACCTTCCTAAGTGTCAGCGATTCGAATGAATCCAGAACAAAAAAAAACGTCGCGAACGGCTTCTGAACGCAGATCAGGACCCCATGCCCAGTAACGGTATCAAGATGAACGTTCAGGACAGCTTGTGGGACGAACACCCCTTCTCAATTGCGACCGGGTCCGAGGAGTGCCCGTGGGACTCCTGAGTGCAGACAAGCTGGTGCTTCCTGAGCAACACAGAGAATATGCGCCATCGAATGCAGGCCCGATTCATCATGCTACTGACAATGCCAAACAGGCCGCGAGCGTTCCATGCGCCGAGAGAGAGAGAGAGAGAGAGAGGTCTTCGACAGGAAGGGGGGCCAGAACACGGAGTGCACCTCACAAAAACGGCCATCACGCAGGAGAGAGGCGATGCCCTGCGTCAGCCACCCAGCCCACGACGCGGGCACCGTCAGAACAATATTCGCATGCGTCAACAGCTCAACTGCCCTAAGACCTGGTCCACAATCGAGTACTGCGTCCCACCGATACCGATCATCTCGAAGTTACAGGCGAACGCGACAACCCCTGGGCATCTAGAGCGACGACGTGGGCTTCGATGCATAATCGAGCTCCACCGCGTCGCCCAAGACCTCGTTCGAAACGAAGAAAAACCCGCTGTCGACATACAAGTCCACGTGCCACCCTTTGAGCGCAGGAGTGGCTTTGAAGAGGCCCTCGACCTCGTTTTGAATCTCACCCGTGACAATCAACTGCCAGTTCGTCTCAGCATCGCGAAGGCGGCTGCGAGCGCACGGTCCTGGGGTCCTGGGGGGTCTTGAGCTCGAAACCTTCAGGACAATGCCTGCAGAACGTGCCAACCGTAGTGACGGCCGCAAAAGTAATAAACACTTTCTTTGAGAAGCTCTGAAGCGTCACGGGCATGGCCCTTTTCACTTGTTCTTCAGAACACGCAGAGGGAATCTGAATACCCACCCCCACGGGAAACTTACGAGTGAACTCGTCATCGGATCCCGCGACACTGGCATTGGACAGGTTCGGGGATTCCACCGCGCACCGACGGAGCAAGCCCTCGGAGCTCGTTGTTCGGACCACAGGAGCCACCCTCACCGCAACCTGTGCCAGAGAGACTGGGGTCCCAATTCCGAATATTACCAAGCTCAGCTTCCGTCTTCGAGATGTGGGTACGCTGTTCTTCAAGATCCTTCTGCAAGTCAACAACACTGGCGGAAAATTCCGAAACCTAGGCCGACACCTTCGAGAGAGACTCAATTCACCTTGGCCACCTGAGCCGTCAGCTCCTCAATCGCTTCATCAAACTGGCCCATCTCTAGACCTTCCGCGATGTCGATTGGGCTGGAGGAGAACAGCAGGCAAACAGAGCAAGCAGCTACGCCAGCAGCTCGAGCTCCCCGTCGGCTGCGACCAAGGTCGAAACGCCAGGGAAACACGCTTCGACCTTGAGCCAAAATGGCGAAGGATCGTCCTCATGAGGATGAAGATTACGGTGATGACGCTGATGATCGTGCTGCTGATGGTGTTGGAGAGGAGGAGGACTAAGAGGATGGAGTAGCGGGTGAGGGGGATGATAGGGCCCGCTGGTCGTCATCGCCCTCCGCCTCATCTCTCTCTTGGCCTAACTACCCTCCTCCTTCTCGTCCTCTTTCCCCTCCTCCTCCTCCTCCTCCTCCTTCTCGTCCTCTTTCCCCTCCTCCTCCTCCTCCTCCTCCTCCTCACCACCACCACCACCACCACCACCATCATCATCATCATCATCATCATCATCATCATCATCATCATCAGCATCATCATCATCATCATCATCATCATCATCATCATCAGCATCAGCATCAGCATCATCAGCATCACATCAGCATCAGCATCAGCATCAGCATCAGCATCATCATCAGCATCAACATCAGCATCAGCATCAGCATCATCATCATCATCATCATCATCATCATCGTCACTCTCTTTACACGCTCTGTGCTGCAACCCGAAACTGGCCTCACCACGATCACTCCTCCCCACTCCTCCTTCTTCTCCTCCTCCTCCGAGGAGGAGGAGGAGGGAGAGGGGGAGAGGGAGGAGAAGAACGGGAGGAAATGAAGGAGGGAGGGATGAGAGTAGGAGGGAGGGGGGATCATGGTCTTGTTGATTCAGATGAGCATGTAAATGATTATGGGAATGGGTGTTGCTGAGGGTGATTATGATCATGATGATGGGGACGAGGAGGCAGACGAGAAGTGCAAGCGTTGGTCCTTGGAGCCTGGCTTCATCCGGGCTGGGAGTAGGCTTGTTATTGAAGAGCTCGGTACCCTTCAGCAGCGCCTCCTTCGCCTCTGGATAGTTGCCCCTGGCCATCAAGCCCGTGCCCTTGCTCGCCCATGCCACCTGGGAGCCTAGCTTTTTTAACTCTTTCCCCCCGCGCCGTCAGTCCAGTCATCCAACTCCCCCGTCAACTCCCCCTCCTCCCCCCTTGCTCTTCCTCCTCCCCCTTTCTCCCTTTTCCCTTGCTTCTCCTTCTCTCATCCACCTCCTCCTCCTCCTTTCCTGCTGCTGCTGCTGCTGCTCCTCCCCCTGCTGGTTATCCTTATCTTTCTGTTCCTTCTCCTTCTGCCCCTTCATCTCCTTCCCTGCTTTCTCTTCGCCCCCTCCCCCTCCTTCTGCCCCTCCTGCACCTCGTCCAATTCCTTCCCCTGCGCTTCATCCTGCTCCGTCTCCAAAGGGAGGGAGAGAAGGGGAACGTGGATGACACGGCGGTTCCGATCGAGCCACCGCGCAATTGGGATCCACCTCCGTGCCCTTCGCGTAATCTGCAAAGGCCTCGTCGGTGCGGTTCAGCTCCTCCAACACAATCCCCCTGTACACGTAGAGCCTCCCGCACGTCGGGTCTGTACTTATCGCCAAGCTGTAGTCCTGCAGCGCTGGCTTGCCCTCCTCTTCCTCCTCCTGCTAGTCCTCCTCCTCTTTCTCCTTTGCCTCCTCCAGCTCTTCTGCCTCCCCCCCTTCTTCTCTTCATGTAACGCCAAGGTCGTTGTCCTGATCAATGCCTCCTCCTCCTCCTCCTCCTCCTTGTAATTATCCTTCTTCTCCTCCTTCCCTATCCCCTGCCTCTACGTGCATCGCCAAATTGTAGGCCTGTATCGCCGCACGGGCTCTTTTTCCACCTCCTCCTCCTCCTCATCCTGGCCCTTGGACCCGCCCATCACCAACTACAACCAACCAGACAACCCAGCTGCCCTGAAAGCTTTCAGAACCACCTCGCCCCCTCCGAGAACCTCCTCCTCCTCCCTCCTCCTCCCTCCTCCTCCTCCGTCCTCCTCCTCCTCCTCCTCCTCCTCCTCCCCCTCCTCCTCCTCCTCCTCCTCCTCCTCCTCCTCCATCGCCGCGGCGCTGCCGCTCGGAGGACCCCCGCCGCCGCGGGGTGCTGGCCCGCGGCCGCAACGACGCGCCGCGGGGCCGCCGGCCCGCGGCGGGCAACCGCGCCGCGCCGGCGGCCGCCGGCGAGCTGATCCTGACCGCGGTCCAGGGGCGATGTGCCAATCGCCGAGTCGATCCTGCAGCCTTCTCACTCCTCCTCCTCATCCTCATGCATCGCCATGTTGCAGTCCTGCAACGCCTTCTTCGGCTTGCCGAGGCGGTACAGGGCGTTGCCGCTATTGGCGTACACCCTGGCGCCCACCTTCGGCTCCTCCAGCCACTCGGGGTGGTACTCGATCATGGTGCCGGGAGGAGGAGGAGGAGGAGGACGACCAGTGAAAACCAAAGACGCTTCAACGACGTTGTGATTAGCCCTCCCTCCAAATTCCCTCTTCATAGGTCCCTGCCAACAAATATTTTCATTGCGGGGATGCCCCATTGGAAGGCAACCGTCTGAGAATCCCCAATCGTGCCGAAACAAACTTCCTAGAATTTCAACACCGCGAGTCAGTGTGACTGATGCGTCCTGGCAATCCTAAAACGTGCTAGAACAAAAGTCCTGGGATTTCATCACCGCGAATCAACGCGACTGATGCACACTGACAAATTGGGCGAAGACATCATCGATAGTACGAACCATTGAAACCGCTGCAAGCTTTTGACATTAATGTGCGCGGCGCTGAGGCAAGAACCTAATTTTGGAAGCGACCCACCATCCAAGGCTTCGAAGTTGTTGCAAACTGAATAACAAATGCGCGCGGCGCTAAAGCGAGAGCCACGTTGTGAACACAACCGGCCCTCCATCCTTGAAACTGTTGCAGGCCTTGAAAACGAACGTGCGCGACGCCAGAGCGAGAACCGCATTTTGACAACAAGCCACCCTCCATCCTTGGAGCTGTTCCAAACTTTCGAAAATAAACGTGCGCGGTGCCAGGGCGAAAGCCAACCTTTGAAAACTGTACACCCTCCATGCATCAAACTGTTACAAATTTAAAGCTTCAAGATCATTAGTGGTGAGGAAGTCTCAGGTGAAACGCCCGGCCCGCCCTACCGAGACGTCTGGGGGTACGGCAGGGAGGAGTTATTTAAGGAAAAGGGATGAAGGAGAAGAGGAGGAGGAGCAGTGGGCGAATAAGGAAGATAAGGAAGGGGAGAATCACGAGAAAATATGTGGGATGATGATGAGGATGAAGAGAGCTAGTAAGCGGAGGTGGAAGATGTACCCCACAGGTCGGACTCGTCGTTGGCCTTCAGATTCTGAGACTTCACGATGGCGGCCGCCTTGGACAGTTTCGAGAACTGCAGCGCGCTGAGGCGACCAAAGCCTCGTGGTGTCAGTCAGCTGGGAAAACAGCCAGAGGAGGATGATGAGAAGCCGGAGAAGGAGGAGGCCTTACACGTTTTGCACGCTCACTTTCGCTGCCCGCCTACTGAGTTGGGTCTTCCTTCCTGCACGCCGCTCGCCCTGCGCACCTCCCCACCTGTAGTTAACGTCTGGTGTAATTCACGTGAGTTTGTGGCCCATTCTATGACTCGCTGCGGGGACGTCATCTGGCCGGCGGAGGGACACCTGTGCTTGTGCGTGAGTGTGTGTGTGTGTGTCGACTGCTCGCCTTGCTCCGCCTCGTCACAGCGCGCGAGGCCGCGACCGCCAAAAACGTGTGTGTGTGTGTGTGTGTGTGTGTGTGTGTGTGTGTGTGTGTGTGTGTGTGTGTGTGTGTGTGTGTGTTTGTGTGTGTGTGTGCGTGTGTGTGTGTGTGTGTGTCAGGGGCGGCCACGCGCGTCTCGTTCCCCTATGTCCTACGCCTCGACAATGCGCCCGCGGCCGCGACGCGAAAAAACCTGTTTTTTTGTAGGTGTGAAAGCTTTGTGGAGTTCACGGTCATCTGAGACCCATTCTGGCTCTCGCTACTGTGACGTCACCTGGACAGCGGAGGAACAAATGTGTGTGCGTGAATTTGTGCACACTGGTGTGACACATTGTAAACCTCGGGGCGACCAACATTCTACAACACGGGCTCCCGTCCCCGTCCCCGTCCCCATTTCGCAAGTGTAAGAATATCTTAACCATATGGGCGACTTCAACAGGATGTGCCGCGTCGTGCCCCGAATTACCGCGATACCTAATGTCTTGGAGACACCGGCTGGACCTGAATGCACCCCAATATGCTAATTCTGATTGGCCTCATATGAATTACAAATGTGGCAGAATATATCCCGAACGCCGCTCTGAAACGGTGCCACCGGCACGTGCGGAATGTCGCGTCGTTTCTGACGCGATTCATGTCTTCCCGTTGGAACCAACTCCAGAGCTGGCTGCCTGCCCGCCCGAACCAGGCAGGCACGAAACCCAGATCTGAACTGAGGCCCAATACTTTCAGTAAAAGGGCACACGAACTAACCTGATCGCACGCCGATTTAATCCATTGGGCTCGCAGGGGAGATAAGAAGCGAAGGATGATGGCGACGACAAGGTTGCGGATGACCTGGATGTCAGTATGGATGACGGGGAGGGCAGCAAGGGTCCAGGAGGACAACGAGTAGGACGACAAGCACAGGGACGAGGAAGAGATCGAGGAGGACGAGCACGAGGAGGGACACAGCGGATGATGATGAGGAGGATGAGGAGGATGAGGAAGAGGAGGAGGAGGACGACGACGGAGGACGGTAAGGAGCCTGAGGAAAAGGACGTCGAAGGAGGGGGGGTCTTCGTGATCTGTAGAGGTTACCCTGGGGGCTGTTGTGGCCATCTTGGGCTATCTTGGAGCATCCTGGGGGCCTCTTGGGGTCCTGTCGGGGTTTTCTTGAGGGCTACTGAGGTCTTCTTGGGATGTCTGGGGGTGTCAGAGGGTTCTGTAGGGGCTCTCTCAAACCGTATTGGCGCCATCTTGGGCTGTCTTGGGCCGTGTGGGAGCCTCTTGGGGCGCCCTTGGGAGCCTCTCGGGGCCCCGCTTGTGTCCTCTGGGGGGCCTTTTGGAGCTCCTCTGGGTCGTTTTGAACCCTCGCCGGAGCGATTCCAACACGATGCTGGCTCGCCCCTCTGGAGTAAAGTTTGCCAGGATGTCTCAAGCGGGCGGAACTGCCATGTCTCAGAGATGATGGGCCTGTTTTCCACCACCACCACCACCATAAGTTGGAGGGGGAGAGGGTTCTCCTCCTCCTCCTCCTCCTCCTCCTCCTCCACCCCGTCGTCCTCGTCCGCCTCCTCCTCCTCCTCCACCTCCACCTCCTCCTCCTCCTCTTCCTCCTCCTCCTGGCCCCCCCCTCCTTCTTATGGTGTGGCGGTGGAAAGCAAGCCCGAATCCCCCCCCCTTTCGTCCGGCCCGAGAGTCAACTCGAGGGCGAGGCAGGGGAGGCGCCAGCAGAGGAGGGCCTGGCGGAGGGATCGGGACGAGCGGGAGCACGAGGGCCCACGGGCCGCAGGGGGCCGAAGCACATCCAAGAGGCGGAAGCAGAGGGTCGCCGGGCGGGGAGCAGGCAGAGAAAGAGGGAACAGCGAGGCTCGGCCGACGGAGCGGCGGAAGCGGGAACACAACGAGGCGCGGAGGCGCACAGGGGCGCAAGGAGGCAGCAGACACGGCGCGAGAAACCGGCTGCAGAGGGGCGGGGCACGTGGTGCGGCGGGAAAGGGCGGCGAAGACGAAGGCCCTGCCGACAGGTCAGGCCAAGTGGAAGCACAAGGGCGCGCAGTGGCCAAAGCACACAAGCGGGCGGAAACAGGAAAGGCGCGTGTAGACTTCGGTGGCCAGGAGCACGTAAAAGTAGGAACACGAGGGCGCCGTGTGGAGAGCGCACAGAGAAAAAAAGGTGCACGAAGAGGCTCGGCGGAAAGAGCGGCGAAAAAGGGCACAAAAGGGCGTGGAGGAATACGTGGGCAGAAACGCGGAAAGCTGGCAATAGAAAGGGAGGGGGGGGAGAGAACCTGCGACAAACACAGACAACAACGGGCAGAGCCGATAGTCGAGCAAGGAGCACGGTCCCCATGGTCGATCTCTTGTTCACCATCCTCCTGGGGGCCATGAAGGACCTCTAGACGGCCCAATGCAGCTTCCCGAAGGCCAAAGACGGCCCAAGAAGGCCCCCAACAGGCCCAAGAGGCTCCCAAGACGGCCCTGGAGGGCCACAATGAGGCCCCCAAGAGCCCCTCCAGAAGCCAAGAACATATTATTCCCAATCGGTTTTGCAGTATTTCCGCGTTCTCGCCACTTTCGATTCTCGGGGGCCCATGACCTCACAAGCAGCCTCCAAGATGACTCACAAAGGCCCCAAGAAGGCGCAAGATGCCCCCAACACGGCTCAAGAGGATCCCAAGGGAGCCACAAGGTGGACCCGAGAGGCCCCCAAGATGGCTTAAGGAGGGGCCAGACGGTGCAAGAACGCCCCAAGACGGCCCAAGAGGCCCCCAAGAGGCCCCAAAGAAGCTTCCAGGGGCACCCAAGAAGCCTCCAAGGTGCCCCGAATAAGCTCCCCAACCGCTCAAAGCAACTACCCAGAAGGCCGCGGAGTTGTAAACGAATGGCGCGTTGTTGCTATGCGCATCGCAATTTGAGCTTGGCGCTACCTTGTGCTGGCATGCGGTGAGTGCTCATTGCCCTCGTGGACATTCGCACGCTCGTCCCTGCGCTGAAACTGGTAGGGGGGGGCGCATCCGCCCCCCCGTGGCGCTGGCAGCGCCCCGGGGCGGGCAGCATGACGCGGCAGAACTCCTCGGCAGACGAGCAGGGCGAACCACCCAACGCTCAGTCTTAACGTGCTCTGGACGTGCACCCCGCGGAGCGAGAGGAATCCACGTCCGGAGGTGGCGTGCTGAGCGGAAGCGTTTTCTGGCGAACGCCTTGACGCAACGTGTCCAATGTATCCACGTGTTTGCTACATGTTGCACTCTCTCTTGCGCTGTTCTGTCCCCCCCCCAGCACCCCAGCCCCCCCCCTGGACGTGTACCCCGCGAAGCGAGGGGAATCAAAAGCACCACTCTCATTCTGCCACGACGCTGGACGCGTGGCAACACCGAGCGGCCGCCCAATGTCCGCAGCGCAGCGAGCGAGCGTATGTCTTAGCAGAGGGCCAGCGCGGGCCCAGCCCTGCACAAGGGCGGGCACTCAGACCACGCGAGGCCCAGCGCCCGCAGCCTCCTCGGGCTTCCCCTGGGTGGAGAGCAAGGGTGTCAGCAGGGCAGATCCGAACCGAGGCCCCATACACTCAGCAAGAAGGGCGTGCACACAACTCAGACATCTCACTCTCCGTCTCCTCGGCCACGGCCCTGTCGCAAAGCCCAGCCGGCCGCTCTGTAGCTCGCACGCCCGGGTCAGCGGATGGCGGAAAGGGGCATCGGCCCCACGTGGTTCCCCAGCCAGGGTCAGCCCGATGGCATTGGCTGACCCCCATTAGCGTTAAGTCGGGCGGGCGTGTCCCCCTACAGGGAGATTTTCGACGAAAAATGAAAAAGACCCCAAAAATACCTCCAAAATGTCAACACAAATACTCAAAAAATAGTCCCCTGACTATCTTTGGACTATTTTTTGACTATCTTTGGCCTCTTTTTGTTTCGTCGAAAATCCCCCTGTAGGGGGACACGCCCGACTTAACATTAGCACTGACTCCCGTTGCGTGAGCCCCGAAGGGCGGCGGCGCCTTGCCCCCCGGCCTGCACCGCGGCCAGCTCCTCGGCCTTGTCCGGGGCCTTGACCCCCGTGGCGGCGCGGTTGGCCCAGGCGGGGAGCTCCGCGCGCGCCGGCGCCCCCGCGACCTGACGGCCTCCTTCCTCCTCGTCCTCCTCGGCCTCGTCCCTCCTCCTCCCTCCATCTCCCCTCCTACTCCTCCTCACCTGCTCCTGCTCCTGCTCCTGCTCCTGCTCCAGCTCCTGCTCCTCGTCCTCCAACTTCTCGTCCTCCCTCGTCCCTCCTCCTCGTCCTCCCTCGTCCCTCCTCCTCCCTCGTCCCTCCTCCTCCCTCCTCGTCGTTCCTCCTCCTCCTCTCTCGCCCTCCTCCTCCTTCTCCTCCCTCCTTCCTCCGCCTCCTCACTCCTTCTCCTCGTCAACCTCCCTTCCTCCTCCTCCTCCTCCTCCTCCTCCTCCTCACCGTCCCCTCCTCCTCCTCCTCCTCCATCTCCTCCACCTCCTTCTCCACCCTCCTCCTCCTCCACCTCCTCCTCCTCCTCCACCCTCCTCCTCCTCCTCCTCCTCCTCCTCCTCCTCCTCCTCCTCCTCCTCCTCCTCCTCTTCTCAACCTCCCTCATCAGAGAGTGATCCGGGATCAAAACGGACCCCCTGGGATGAGGTGGCGAGGCCTGGGGGGCCACGTCATGAAAAAATGCGACGACGGATGTCTGGGAAGGTAGCGATGCTAAACCTGTGGGTCCCAGGTCCCAGGTCCCTCCATGAACCGACGAGCAACATGGGCCAAGGATGGGCCGAGCACGCAAAGACCCAAGGGCTGCCTTGATGAAGCATTGCGTCCTCACTTTGCTCGTTGACAAAAAGCGCCCCTGGAGACAGCAGAAACGAACGAAGCCGAAGATCGGCGGGAGAGTTTCGACAGATCAAGAAACAACAAGCGGAGCCAGAGAAAGAGAGAGAGGGCACACATACATATGTATAGTAAGGTAGTTATTTGTTATACAGGTGTATATATATAGAGAGAGATCGAAAAACAGGGCGAGAGAGAGAGAGAGAGCGAGAGGGGGAGTAGGAACATAATGAACGACAGCGCGATCTACTTACGGCCGGCGGGAATCGCGCTCGATCGTCAGAAGCCGAACACAGCTGCAGGGGCCTTGAACGGCAACTGTTTCCCTCTTCCTCCCTTGAGATCCGACGTCGCGAGCAAGTACAAACAAGCATAAAAAGACAAATCATGACCAAATCCCCCAACCCCGTCTTTCCGCGGCATCCCTCGAGCTGCATCGATCCGTGATGGCCCTGGGGCGCGAAACTGGCGACGCCTGGATCTCAGATCCTTCCCTCCCCTCCCCCCTGTCCGTGGTGGCAGAGCCTCGCAAACATCATCAAGGCCGTCCACGGAGACAGCACAGCCGAAGACCGCCCGAACCGACAGCGAAACCGACACCGACAGCGAAGCCGAATCTGCCAGAAGCGGCCTAGAAAGACGCCCACGCGACAGCTGACCGAACCGAGCCGCCCAAACCGAACCGACTGCGACGCGGCCGAGCCGACCGAACCGCGGACACCCTCCCTCCCCCGCGTCGCAAACGACAGCCGTGTCTACACCCATGCCCTCGCGAGCTGGGTATCGGGGCGCGATACGCTCCGCGCGGGGCATCCGCGCAAAGCCGCCCTATATCCGTGGAGGCGCGGCCGAAGAGTCCAGACCACGAGGCCGTGCACGTTGATGTGTCATCCGCCCTCGGCTGCGGGAGCCGCTGGGCGCCGGAGTGCAGGAAGGAGTGGCCCAGACTTTCTTGCTCGAGGCGAGGATCGGGGATACGTAAGATTCGAATGTTCGGGACTCGAACTTGCCCGACGGGGCCATCAACGAGAATGTAAAGGAGCTGGTCTGAAATTTGACGCGAACTCCCGCTGCAGACATCTCACGAAAACATGCACCGCCCAAACTCACGCCGGGACCGTCGAACAGCGGCGGCAAACCTGAGTTCTGGCAAACTCGAATCTTACGTTTTTCCAGAAAGGAGGAAGAGGACTGCAAGACGGCGCTCTGCCTGTAGGGTTCCAGGTGTCCAAGGCGTTCCTTTGCAACCACATCGTCCTCGGCACCGCCTGATTCCGGGGCTCTGCCCCCTCCTGGCCTCGATATGAGGCCCCTCCTTCTGTCCCCCTCTCGTTAATTCAAGCTGTGCGCGGCCCGCTTAGCTTCGACCGGAAGAGGTGCGCTCTCGACCCGCGGATCAAAAGCAAAACAAAACAACTGTAGGGTCCCAGGTGGCAGGAGCGAACAAATGCAGCCTGCCGTCGCAGGTCGAACGCGGACGTTTCTGTGCGGGTGGCCAACGCAGAGCCGCTGGCGCGCAGGGCCCTCGCAAGGACTTGTGGGCAACAACGGCCTGGCTTGGCGACTCGTGCGCATCACACATTCTCGTTAGTGGGCGCCCCACAACTTGAGCTGGGACCGACCGTCCCGGCATTCCTATAACCCGGAGAAGCAATTAAGGACCCCCCCGGCGTTATCATTAGCACCGCGCCGCAATTAAATAATTATTTGGGGGGGTTTTCGCCGAGCGATATTATTAGCACCGCGCACATGGAAGGAAAATAAATAATTCCAGCGCCCCGCCTCGGGTGGCATCCCAATTCGAATTGTAATGAAAATAAGAATACGAATACGAATAAGGAAAAACTGAGAAAAGCTAAGGAAAAGCTTAGAAAAGCTAAGAAAAAGCTGAGAAAAGCTGAGGAGAGCTAAGGAAAGGCTAAGACAAGCTAAGACAAAGCTTAGAAAAGCTAAGGAAAAGATCAAGAAAAGCTAAGAAAAGCGAAGACAAGCTAAGGAAAAGCTGAGAAAAGCTAAGGACAACTAATGAAAAGCTAAGGAAAACTATTGAAAAGCTAGGGAAAAGCTAAGGAAAACTAAGAATAACTTAAGAAAAGCTGAGGAAAACTGAAGAAAAACTAAGGAAAAGCTAAGGACAACTAAGGAAAAGCTAAGGAGAACTTGTGACCCTCGCAGTGACCCTCGCAGAGTACCCCCAAGGCCTGAGTATGGAGGAAGTCCAAGGCGGGAGCCTTGTCTGTGAGCGCGTCCTCCTCCGTGTCCTCCTCCTCCTCTTCCTCCTCCTCCTCCTCCTCCTTCTCTTCCTCCAGCCCTCATTTTTCTAATGAGATTTCTATTGCAACCCCTTTGGAACAATTATTTTTTTCGGCCGTCGTAGGAGGTGGTCCATCCCAGGGTATCGCCCCCGCCCCGCACCGCGGCGTTATCTTAGCACCCGGCAGGACCAAAATAAATCCCCGAGCCAGAGTAGGAGTGGATCAGTGTACATGGTTACGGCACCGAACAGCGAGGGTCGAGCACTGGAAAGACGCGTGGCCACTGAAGCTCTCTGACTCCTCCGCATGCGTTTCCTCATTCTTTCAGGAGGGTGTACCCCCTCCTGGTGCCAGGATAACGCTTCCGGGTGCCGGGTGCGTTATCTTTTCACCGGAGAGGGGGGGGGGGTCCTTAATCGCTTATCCGGGTTAGTCATACCACGAAATGTTCTTAGAACCCAAACATGATCTAATAACAACAACAATGTTCTTAGATCATAAGCCCGATGCGCTAAAACAATACATTATCAACTAGAACTGTTCTAAGAACATTCCGTGGAAACCACAAAAGGTTCTTAGAACATTGTTTGGTAGGGCTATACAGTAGGCGAGCCAGGACGCTTCGCCACTGCTTGAACAACACCGTCCCCCCTTACCGTGGAAAGGAAAAGGTCCCGAGGGAAACGTGCCCTTGGCCCCTGGAGCTTCCTCCAGGGACCAACGTCTCGTCCTGAGTCGTTTTGCGAGAGTCCCCCGGTGCCCGCTGACGGCCCGGGGAGGCGTGAAGCGGCTAACAAAAACAAAGACCATGTCCCAGTCGTGGCTCGCGCAATGACGAGGAAGGGAGGGGGAAAGAGGAGGAGGAGGAGGAGGAGGAGGAGGAGGAGGAGGAGGAGGGGGAAGGAGGAGGAGGAGGAGGAGGAGGAGGGAGGAGGAGGAGGGAGGAGGAGAGGAAGGAGGAGGAGGAGGAGGAGGAGGAGGAGGAGGAGGAGGTGAGAGGAGGAGGAGGAGGAGGAGGAGGAGGGAGAGGAGGAGGAGGAGGAGGAGGAGGAGGAGGAGGAGGAGGAGGGAGGAGAAAGATGATGAGGAGGAGGAGGAGGAGAATGAGGAGGAAAAGGAGGATGAGACGCGAAACTTTGCACCGTGCTGAAAACGTTGTTCGCTCACTCCCAGGTTCTCCGCCGCCGCGGGCCGACTCCGTTGCTTATTCGGGTGGTCGGGTGGTCTGCAATAACTCGTAGAGCGCCCCCGTGAGCGCAGCGGCGAGGACGTAGAACGCCCAAAAAGGCTCCAAAGCGACACCCCAAACTAGATCCTCGATCCCATAGCCCTTCGTGGCAATCCCCCTATCCCCCCTCACACACTCCCCTCCTTCTTGTCCTCCTCCTCCTTCTCGTCCTCATCCTGGTCCTCCTCATCATCCTACTCCTCCTCGTCCTCGTCGTCGTCCTCCTCCTCCACGTGCACCGAGAAAGTGCACATCGCGCCGACGACGACGATGCACGTGCTCCTCATCCTGGTGCTGCTCCTCCTGCTTCGACTGGATCTACTGGTACTGCTGATCCTGCCGATATTGGTGGCGGACAGTCTGGGAAACAACCTCGTGGTGAAGACGCTGCTGGTGACGGTGCTGCCGACGGAGCGCGTTCGCAGCCTCTTCCTGCACATGGCAGTAGTCGTGCAGAGCATCTGGCTGCTGGTCTTGCCCAGGCTTGTGCTGAAGGAGCTCCTGATGGGCCTGCAGCCGCTGCCCAGGCCGGTCCGGCCTGGAGCAAGGACAACGGCGAAGACACGGGTATGTCCACTGGAAAAGACCATGGCCCTGGCGGCCCTGTCCCAGAGTGCCGGGCTTGCGTGAGGGCCCGGCGCTTCGGCGCACGCGCGCGTGCGATGCATGCGAGGCCGCGCAGCGCCTGCGAAAGCGCAGGGTGCGATTTTCCCCCGGAGGGCGGAGCGCGTTGCTCCTGCTTTGTCTGCCTCCTTCCCTCCTTCCTCCCCTCCCTCGTAGATCTGGCGTCGGTGATGGGGTGGTGGTGGTGGTGGTGGTGGTTCGGTGGTGATGACATAAGGTCGACGAAGTGTTGCGCGATTTTTAGCCCGCCTGCGCCTCCCCTCCGCAGTTGGAGGCAAACCCGGGCTGACAGGTACTGGAGCTGGCGAAGAACAGCTCTGTGCTGGGATGGGAGTCATCGTGTTTGCTCTCTGTAGGTCGGTTTTTTCTGACATGTTGGTTGGTGGGGAGCCCCGTGCCTGTGAGCGGTGCAGGGTCTGCCCTCTAACCTCGTTGCTGGAAGGCCCAGCCTTGCCCTCGAAGTGTCCAATCAGATCCGCCTCCCCCTCCAATAAGTGCCCTGGCGTATCGGGAAATGGGACTCCTCCTCCTCCCCTCTTCCTCCTCCTCCTCCTCCTCCTCCTCCTCCCTCCTCCTCCATCCCCTCCTCCTCCATCCCCTCCTCCTCCTCCCTCGGGCCCGCGCGCCTCCCCTCTCCTCCCCTCTCCTCATCCTCCTCCCCTCCTCCTCCTCCTCCCCTCTTCCTCCTCCTCCTCCTCCTCCTCCTCCTCCTCCTCCTCCTGCTCCCTGCTCCTCCATCCTCCTCCATCCTCCTCCTCTTTCCTCCTCGGGCCCGCGCGCCTCCGCGCCCAGCAGCGCGCCGCCCACGCCCAGGGCGGCCTGCCGCCTGTGCAGCAGGCCCCTGGCGCTCCCCTCCTGCGAGCAGGGAGGGCCCCCCTCCGGGAGGGCCTCGGCATCGGACCAGCCTCGGCCTTACGTCTATAAAGAAGGCCCGCGCCTTCTAAGAAGCAGGGGTGCTTCTAAGAAGCCTTCCCCCCTCCCCCTACCCCCCTCTGCGCGCCGCCAAGTAGGAGGTCCACCAACCTCCGATGCATCGAATCGGCGGGGACGGGCAGGCAGACCGGAAGGCCTCGGCATCGACGTCCGCGGGCCGAGGCCGGGGCATGCGCGAGGAAAGCCGCACCGAGCTCGGAAGCCAGAGTTTACCAGCCTCGAACGGATCCCTGTCCCTAAGATGGACACGCCCAAAGGCGATGACAATCTTGGGGATTCGCCTGCAAAACATCAGGGAGTCCCTAAGATTGGCATCGTGATGAGGAGGTGCCCAGCATAGGGGTAGGGATCTGTTCCAGGCCGGTAAAGAATCCAATCGAATCGGCCATCGGAATCCTCGAGCCCGAATCGCTCTGCACCGGCAGAGGCGAAGTCCCCGCCGCTTTGCCGTCGCCCCGGCCGGTCGCCCCTCGGCAGGCCAGTCACGAAGGCGCGCAGGGAGCGGCCAGGGCAACTGGTTTCAGCGGATGTGCCTCCAGAAGAAAGGGCGCGGGGAGGTGGCCAGAGAGGGCGGCCTGCGCACGACCCTCCTGTCTCCCTTTGCTCCTCCCCCCCTCTTCCTCCTCGTCATTCCCCTGCTACTGCCTCCTCCTCCGCCTCCTCTTCCTCGATTGTCCCTCTTCCCATCAGTCTCACCCCTCCACTGTCTCCATCCAAGGCAACACACTGCGACAGCGCAACCGAAAACCATCCGAGCCGACAGTGAAACCGAAACCGACCAAAACCGAAACTACCAGAAGCGGCCGATGAAGACGCATCGACGCGGCAACGAGGCGACTGTTCACCGAACTCAACCGACCGACTGCAACCGACTGCGGCGCATCCGAACCGACCATACTACCGCGGACACCCTTATCATCCATCCTCGCCCCCTCTTCCCCCATACAGGTCAGATTGCTGAACCACCGACGAGGGGTCGACTGGAACCGCAGAGAATAGCATCAATACAACTGTCGGAGGTCCGCGCGGAGTTCTCGGGTCGGCGCTGGGCCACCTCTGGCGCGCTTCGCCTGGGAGAGGGGTCCAACGCCGACCCGAGAAATCCGCGCGGACCGCCGTGCATTTATGCCGATGCAGTGCTTGTGATTCCATCCCTCCTCGCCCGACGGGTCCCCCCCTCCCACCTCAAACGTGCGTGCAAAGACTCGAAAATACGGAGCTCGCACCTGCCCAACATGTTCGTCATCAAGAACTCGTTTCTGGGCTCCCAAACCGTCAAACATCAACTCAAGATGAAAAGCCGGCCATGAGGACGCGGTGGCGAGGTCCGAAGCCTCTAACCACTCCGCTAACATCCAGCGATGTGTGTCCCATATCTTCGGTTTTGGGTTCTTGTTGTTCGTGTATCACGTCTCCCCCTCCTGACCTCACTCCCGCCTCCCTGCCGCCACCGCCACTCACTCCTGCTTCCCTCACACACTCCTACTGAAGGGAATGTCATACTCGCTCAGGCACCGTCACCACCATGTTCTATCACACCCGGACTCACCCACATTTAGACTCACTCACACTCAGACTCGCACTTAGATGTTCACCTCTAATTACTTAGGCCCACGCGTACTCATGTTCATACCCACTTGCACTTAGACCCACTCAGATTCAGTCACCCCCCCCTTCTGACCTCTCATTATCAGACTCGCTGACACTAACACTCACTCATGCTCAGACTCATTCATACCAAGACTTTCTCAAGCAGGCATGGCACTTGAGCATCCCAAGGGGAAGCCACCATGGGGGTGCTCGACGGTCCAGTTCGCGTCCTCATTGCCGGTATGTCTCAAGCGAAAAGCTCGTTTTGGCGCCCCCGACTCCTCTCTCTGAAGGGCCACGTGATCAGACCGATGCAGCACGCACGCCACTCGGGCATCCCAAGGCGGGGCCGCCAAGGGGGTGCGACACGGGCCCGTTCGCGTCCAGACTGTGGGGTCGTCTCAAGCGAAACGCCAATTTTGGCTCCGAAAGGTCCTCTCCCTAGAGGACCCCTATGACCACCACGATGCAGCGGGCACTGCATCTCGAGCCTTCCGATTGGGAAGCCGCCAGGGGGTTCGACACGTGGTCGTTTGAGCCCAATTTACGGGGATGCCGTAGATTCGCATATTCTCACCAACGTGCGAGCACCGCGATGTAGCAGGCATGGCAC